GTCTATGATCAAGACAATCAATTTAAGCACATAGTATGGATCATTAATGCTCTCTAACACAATCAAAATTACTAACTATTACCATCTAACCCTAAGATTTGTTCAATCTCTAGATCTAGCAATTCAATGATCATAAATAAATAGATATGTAGTTTATACACTAAGAATGATCATCTCTGTACACAAAACTTGTAGAATAAACAATAAAAATTTAAACTTTAACATATTAGGATGTTGATCTATCAAACACAAGTAAAAACAAACATAAATTAATCCATAAAAGTCGAAATCAACGCATAATATCTAGGTTCATCTATGCCAAATGAAAGTAAAGGGTTCTTAGCCCATAACTAACTCAGAAAAGCACATAAACATATAGTAAGCTAGATTAGACATGATGAATTCAAGAAAACCGAATGATTTATCGTCTTCTTCATGTAGATTTCTTCAATACTTGCCCTCCCATCAATTTTTTGACCTTCTTAGGGTTTCTAATAGGGTTTTGGTCGTCCTTACTTGTAGAAATTCGCAATACTCTCTCGAAATTTGACCTAATGATCGTTTAAATAAGATACCAAAAATATGTTGTCACATCGTGCTGAATGGCTGACCACGTCGTGGTGGACACTTCTTTCACGTAGCCTCCAGGTTTACATGCAGATCAGTCGGGGAATCTTTTAGGTCAAGACATGTCACCATGTCATGGCATACAATTGACCACGACGTGACAAATACTTTTTTGCATGATTTCTTCTTCTTTGATGAGTTCCTCAAGTCCTTAGCTTCTAGCTTGCGTTTTAGCTCTTTTTTCCCTGAGAATGTCTTTTATGCTACAAAATGGATTTTAGACGTAATAAGTACCAAATATCTTAATAAATAACCAAAATGTAGCTAAATGTACTTAAATATTGCATAGAATATATGACTAATTTTAGTAATGTCATAGAACAAGCAGCAATAGCAGGAAGGCAGCGGGAGCTGTGATTATCGACGACATGGACAACGATGAGCAAACAACGACATCAATAAGCGGGAAACGACTGTGATGCTTTGCGGGCATAGGTGTGGCGAAGGGACCTCAAGATCGATTTAAGCAGATGATAAGAGTTGATTGAATGGAGGAAGAAAGAAAAAAAAATGGGTTTGGAAATCCGATCGATTTGTATAAGCCTTACGTTAGGTTTTGGTGGCTTGATACCATGATAGATTATGTGGAAACCCCATAAATTAGAGTTGCATGTATTGATATCAATATATATCGTAACATATTTACATAAGAGCCTCTATACTATACATAAACAAATAAACAATATGCCAGTGGTGACTCCTATTGCATCATCATCACTATCATTATAGAAAAGACAATTTAATATATATTAATGTATTGTCCAGTATTTTTATTTTGTGTCGTAACAGGGGTTTTCAAGATGTTGATGTGAGTTACTTGGGTGGTTTTTAGGTATCAAGGAATGGGTAAAACTCTCTAAAAACTTGTTATTGTTCGATGGGTATAAAGGAATGGGTTGTGATTGTTAAACCATGGGTTGTGTATTATACTATTTCAAAACTATAATACCACTTTCTTTTGCTGAAAATGATTTTTCAAGATTTTTAACACAAAACTTTAAAACTATTGTTTTTTTGTATGTTTTTATTTGATTTTCATATGCAAACCTTATTTTCATAGATGGCCGTGATTTTTTTTTTTTCAAAACGACTTCATTTTTGTGAATTTCGTAGATATTATATCAATTTCACATATAACTATTTTGGTAAACTCTTTATCCTCTCTAATAAATGAATGTTTTTTTTTGCCACTTGTCACACGCTCATTCAATTTGCCAAACGTCATTTTTATGGTTATTTTGAATTAATTTTTTTTCCACATGTCATTTTATGAGTTTTTCTATTTTATTAAATTTCATATAATATTTTAATGTAACAATTGCAATAAAGTAGTAATAAATGGATATCAATTTAATTAATGAACTTACCTTTTAATTTCAAAATTCTCAAAATTAAAGTTCATTAGTTTCTTTTATTTATTTAAATTCTTTGTTTAAATTTAAAAGATAAAAAACATTTCTATTATAATAATTCATTATTTTTCTTATTTCTTATTATTTCAAAGTTCTTAAATATTTTGATCTTTATAATTAATTTTTTTTTTAAATTAACCCATGTAATACATGTGTCTCACAACTAGTTTTTTTATTAAATCTTGATAACTGATAAATAGAATTAAACTCATTTGTTTTTTTTTTCTCTAGTTTAATTTTTAATTTTTTTTTTCTCAAAGTTTAATTTTTAATAACGACAAATAAAATGTGCTAATTTTATAAAGAAAACCATTTAACTTAAATTAGTTAATTTGTAATATAAACTAATTATAGAAAAACTAACGTTGCACTTTAGTACATACACTAAAAGATGTGACTCTCATATAGGTTTAAGTCCCTTTATGGACAAACAATTAATTTGGGGATAATGTCACTGTAGCACAATCAACTTTTGTGATTTGTCCAACTTGACCAATTATGTTTTTTTCTTGCGCATTAGGTCATCTAACTTTTACTGTACATGTCACGTAGGTCATTATCGTTAGTTTTTAACCATTCATCCGTTAACTAGTTATCTAAATTACACGAATGGCCCCTATGGCTTAAATTTCTTTCGTAATTGGTTGTTATCATCCATGTTTTAAATTACACGACTAAAACTACCATAATTCTGAATCTCTAGGGACCAAAACGTAACATTGTCATCATCTTCCCTAAATTATTTCGTATCCCAACTTACCCGATGCTCCTTCAAAATCGATTAGAAATGTTGAGAGAATTTTCCAAAATTTTCGTATCTTCAGTCGAAAGGAGGACCTACGGGAACTTGAAGGATCAAACCATCGAAATCCTGCTACCTGATTTCGACTTCGATCATACAGCCGAAAGGAGGTTAAGTTCAGTTTCGGGTCTCGTCGTTTGGGTACTTGCACTCTCCAGATCATCCTGATACATCATCCTTCTGTGAGGACACTCTCTGTTCCGAGGTTATGACAAAGTTCGTAAATGAGAATTTCGTTGCTTGGGGTGGGAGTATTAGTGCAAGTGAAGGGTTCAAGATGAGTAACAACTTGAAGGCTTCTAGGTTTGCTTTCTGTGCTGTTGTCATGACAGCTACTAATCAGAGAATTGCTTTGCTCCAACAGGTATCTTACCTAATGTCAGGACTCTTGAGTATACAAATAAATTATTTCACATTATGAAGTTTGAAGACTATTTAACCTGAAGTTTATTCATCTATTGGTCCCTAATCAACCCAAGAAACATCAATTGTAAGCATTCACATTAGTAAAGGGTCCCTAAATGAGAAGGACCTTGTAACAAGTTCAATCACTGGTGTCAATAATAGTAAAGTATCTTTGCTTGTTCTTAACATGTAATGCCTTTATAGGAATTAGAAATCTACCATTAACTTTGTGAATATATATAATGTAGGTTGAAGGGCCTAAATCACCAGAAGATCTGCTAACAATGTTGCAAAGGGTTCTTGAAGAAAGTGCCCCTATTCTTGTAACAGCAAGACTTGAAGCTGAGGAAAGAAGAAACAACATCCGATTAAGGGATGAACAAGATGATGCATATCAAGCTACACTTGAAGCTGGTCAAGTAAGCTCTTATTTACTTTTTTTTTTTTTTAAGATTAGTTTTCAATTTTTCATCTGATTGACTAACTTTATTTTACAAAATCAGGCTAGGGAACGCCAGAGGAGGGAAGAGCAAGAACGAGTAGAAAGAGAAGTTGCTGAAGCTGAGAAGAAGCAAAAGGAAGAAGAGGGAACTAAGAAAGAACTCGACTAACAGATCAATGCTTACAGGGTATTCAATGTTACACTTTGGCCCCTAGAGTAACATGGCTGATAACGACCAATTACGAAAGAAATTTAAACTATAGGGGCCATTCGTGTAATTTAGATAACTAGTTAACGGAGGAATGGTTAAAAAATAACGATAATGACCTACTTGACATGTACAGTAAAAATTAGATGACCTAATGCGCAAGAAAAAAACATAATTGGTCAAGCTGGACAAATCACAGAAGTTGATTGTGCTACAGTGACATTAAAATTTAATGGTTGTTGTTAGCCGTTAAAAAAAATCAATGTAAACATATTCTATTATGCACGATATTATTCGAATGTAGTATTAATATTGGAAATCACAACGTCGAAAAAGAGGTTCTTTTTAAGATATTATTTATTCATTTGCAAATCAACATTAAAAGTCAAAAAGAGGCCAATGATTCGTGTTAAAGACTAGCACTTTCATAGGTTTATTACTTTACTTTGACATGGATCTAAAGTGGTTTGTGAGGCCGATAATTGCGACATTCAGTTTGATTATTTGTTGAAAACATATTATTAATCTGATGTTTAAAGTCAAAATATTTAGATTCAGGAATATGTAGAAGATTGTTATTAGTAATCAGGAAAATGACATAAATGTCCTACAAATTTTTAGGGTTTATCCATTTAGTCCCTAAAATTTTTGTCGGGTTTTATGAGTCCCTAAACTAGGAGATGATCTGCTCTTTTAGTCCATGTCAACCTGTAATAGCCGGTTCAGTGACCTTTTAGACCAAAAAAACTCACATTGTGCCCCTATAAACCAAAAAAATAAGTTCGGTGATCAATTTGTAACATATAATGATTTAAGTGATAGTTATGTTATAAAAAGTGGAAATATTTGATAACTTTACGAAAAGCCTTATATAAATATGGCTATATCTTTCTTTTTTCTTCCGGTTTATTCATCCCAAAACACTTTTACGTGTAAAGTTTCTAAACTTCTGTTTTCATCAAATTTAGATGAACAAAGTTTTAAGAAATATACAGATATAATCTTTGAGAGTATACATTTACTTTTGTTTGTATTTCAAAACCTAGAAAGTAACCAGTAATTTTACTCATAATCATAACAAAGAATTCAAGTGAAAAACTACAATTATGGGATATGACTTACGTACATGGATACGAGAAGAATGAAATTTGCTTTGATCCTCATTTTGTCTAGAAAATGATAATACGCATCTCTACATCGTTTGCTAACAATCAACGTGTCAATCGTGATCCAGAAACCAACAGCCAATCCAACGATCATACATATCACTAGGATCCAATTAGTGTCATCAGGTTTGCCATGATCGTCATTAGCTCCCTTGGTATCATCAGTTTTTTGTCGGCAACCTGGAAGAGGAGCCCCACAAAGTGCATGATTTCTAATGAAACTAAATCCATTGAAGGTTTGAAGCTGATGCCTTGTCGGGATTGTTCCTATAAGAGGGTTGTATGATACGCTCAACAAACTCAAAGCAGTTAACCCAACCAAGCTCAAAGGAATCTTTCCATTAAGATGGATCACAGACAAATCCAAAGATTCAAGTTCTCTCATTTCATCAAAAGTGTTGGGAATGTTTCCTGATAATTGATTTTATGAAAGGGGAAGAGGGTTGTGATCTTCGGTGAGTGTGTGTGACGATCGAGGGTGAAGACGGAAAGAAGAGCAGCGATTGATTTCTTGGGAGGGTACAAAATTGAGTGTGAAACGGCTTTAGAAGAAAAGAATGAGTTTTTTTTTGTACGAATTGATCCCCAAACTTATTTTTTTTTGTTTTATAGGGGCACAATGTGAGTTTTTTTAGTCTAAAATGTCACTGAACCGGCTATTACAGGTTGACAGGGACTAAAAAAGCAGGTCATATCCTAGTTTAGGGACCCATAAAACCTGACAAAAACTTTAGGGACTAAATGAGTAAACCCTAGAAAGTTTGTATAATATATGTCATTTTCCCTAATACTTATTGCCTATGATAAGTATAATATATTTAATTATATAAATGACAAAAAAAAAAAAAAAAAAAAAAAAAAAAAAAAAACACACACACAAAATAACAATATACTCAACATTTATCATAAAATGATTATTTATGAATATTGACTTTACAAAAATGTAAAACATAACACAAAATGACAATATATTCGACATTTATCATAAAATGATTATTTATGAATATTGACTTTTGCAAAAATAATTTAATTATTAGTAATAATACTTATTGCCTATTGAGAGGATAAATATAATATATTTAATTATATAAATGACAAAAAAAAAACAAAATGACAATATATTCAACATTTATCATAAAATGATTATTTATGACTATTGACTTTACAAAAATGTAAAACATAACACAAAATGACAATATATTCAACATTTATCATAAAATGATTATTTATGAATATTAAAAATAATTTAATTATAGAAAAATTGTTTTCTACAAAAAAAATAGGGAAATCTCCGGAAAAGTCCCAATATTTTACCCTAATTTACGAAAAAGTCCTAAACTAAAATTTGTTTACGAAAAAGTCCCAATTACCGGTAAAAACCACGATTTGGCCCTATTTTCTCGATTTAACGGTTTCATTAATTACCGGGTTTTAATAAAATCTCATTATTTTACCATAATTTAAGAATAAGTCCTAAATTATGGTAAAATAAATGGACTTTAATGAAAATTATGGTAAAATAATGGGACTTTAATGAAACCGGGTAAGTATTGAAACCGACAAACCGGAAAAAAAGGGTCATATCGTCATTTTTTCCGGTAATCGGGACTTTTTCATAAACCAGTTTTAGTTTGATACTTTTTCGTAAATTAGGGTGAAATATTAGGACTTTTCCGAAGATTTCCCAAAAAAATAAAAATAAAAATAAATAAATAAAAATTGTAAATTTCTTACAAAATATTTTATTTTCACCGTATATCTTTTTGATAATATCAATGGATTTTGACTAGTTTGGATTAACTTTAAATTCCACAAACACCTCGTGAGATGCCACTTTTTCATGTAAAATTTGTTTATGTATTCAAACCCCCTCTCACACTTACTTTCAATATTTTATTTTTATAATGGAGTCTATGTTTATGATCCCATCTTTTAGTATATTCTTAGTTTTTTTTCAGCAAAAAAAAATATCAAAGAGGGACTTTTCTTGTAAGAGTGGGTGCCATGGAGGGGGTTTCTTAGTAAAAGAAAATCTTTTGAAGGGTATATTTGGTAATAATGTGTTTGTAATCATCTTCCAAGTGGGGTGCTTGGACCCCTCTTATTACTAGTTGGCTCCACCACTGAGTATCCATACATTATTGCATGCTCAACGACATATTTCGTATAATTAAAAGTATCTTTACACCTCGTGAGATACTACCTTTTTCACGAGATATGTAGAATTTGTTTATGAATTCAAACCCCTCAAGACTAAATAATCACACTTACTTTTAATATTTTTCTTACAATGGAGTCTATGTTTATGATCTCATCTTTTAAGTATCAATACATTATTGCACCTTCGACAACATCTCTAGTCTGACCTTCATGATCGGTGTCAATCTCGTGCAAAATCCATCCATTTTTACATGGTTTTATGTTGTTCATTTCTTTAAGTATCAATACATTAGTGCATCCCCCGCCCCCGCCCCCAAAATGTCCACCTTTCGTACCCCCGCCTCCGCACACGATCCCCCTTATTACCCCCTTCCCCCTCCCTCGATTGATTTGGGGCTGCATTTTTTAGACTACAATAAGTTGTTGTTTTGGCTAAAAGAAGCTACTTTTTAGGTAACAAATGATTATTTATAGAAGAATTTTACATGTTAAAAATAAAAATGTTATGACATCTTAAAAACATTATACTAACGACTTAAAAACATGTTTTTTGTTGAATTTTGGAAGCTCAAAATCATGTTATTGTTTATTATATTTATATAATTAATATATGTAAATATATGTATAATTTATTAACGGGGTCACCATGGGGGTCTCGGGATGGGATTGCCCACCCCTGCCCCCACCCCCGAAATTAAAACGGGGGTTAACCTTGCCCCCTGCCCCCGCCCCCGATTTTTTTAGTAAATACCCCCAAACGGGACTGGGCCCCCACGGGAACGGGATCTCACGAGACTTTTTGACATCCCTACCAACATATACAAACACTTATACAATTGCGTCGCATCGATGTGAGATACATTAACACTCCTCCAGAGATAGAGGCTCAATGATGATAAAACGGGATGTGTTAAGCCATAAGGATACGCCGATTATGATACCATGTAAGGTATATATGGAATATGATATTAACTCTCCAAAGAGCCCTTTTACAGAGAGAATCTTAGACTCCATAAATATCTTACACTTTTGAAAACATATATCATTCCCAAAACAATGTTGGTAAATATGTTATTGAGCAATAAAGCAATTTCAACAACTGAAATTCCTCCAACAAAGTTTGAGAATCCTAGTGGATCATAATTGATGATAAAAGAAAAAAACATGCAAAAGGGGGTACAAGTAGACCTGGCAATTCGTGTATCCATGTCATGAAAAGGTGTGTAACACTCATAAAATTCAAGCCAAATTTAAACTTTTAAAACATTTCAAAACCCATGATCATTACCAAACTTGTTTTCAAAATAGTATATTGTCAGAGTTTTCCCAGAATCAAAACATAAAATCATAAATTGTGAGGAGCGGTACGATCACGCCTTCGCCTTCCCGCGATCATTAGAAGTACCTGAAACAATAATCGATAGATGTAAGCTCGAATGCTTAGTGAGTTACCCCCAAAATACCAACGCCATATAATCATAATCATATCATAATAACATATATGCAAACAACATGCATAATGAGCCTTCAGCCTGACTGGACCGCCTCGCAGGCCTTCAGCCTATCTGGACCGCTCTCCGAGCCTTCGGCACGTCTGGACCGCCTCGCAGGGCCTACAGCCTATCCGGACCGCTCGCCGGTCCTTCGGTCTGACTGACATCCCCTCTTGGGCCTGTAGTCTATCCGGACCACCCTGGGTATGTTGGCCTTCAGCACAAAGCAGGTCCGCCTCAACCCAACCCCAATCAAACAAACATGTGCACATAATATCATACGCTAGCATATATAACAGTCAAACTGATCTAACAGATCATCAATCATAACAACATCCTATAACCAGGATACATACCTAACCGATCACTAACATAGCATCATCCTATATACCAGGATACCGATCTAACCAGGTCACTAAACACAGTATCATCCTATATACCAGGATACCGACCTAACCAGGTCACTAAGCATATCACCATCCTAATTACCAGGATGTAAATCAATAAGGCATAACATACAATAACTCGGATACAAATCCGAAAAGGGTCGGCATTGGTGCCTTAGACCCTGTTGATATAGTGAGGATAATTCACCTCACAAATGTCGCACTGAAGTGATAAGCTCAAACTCTCGAATCACCGACACGAACTCCACCACCTATAGTTACCATAAACCATTTCCATAAATTTCCAAGTTACCAAAATACCCCCAGAGGTCAAACTGGTCAACCCTTGGTCAACGTCAAAGTCAACAGTCAAGGTCAACAGTCTATGTTGACCCGACTCGTCGAGTGCAGTTCACCGACTCGTCGAGTCCTTCCTGAACTCGAGAAGTTGTGAAATCCTTGGTTAACTCGTCGAGTTTCCCTGTAACTCACCGAGTTCATGCGTGTCCAAATGTCGGGGAAACCCTAACTGGCTTGCCGAGTCACCCTACTAACTCGCCGAGTCCATGCAAAAGTCCTTGCACGACAATCTTCATCGGACTCGTCGAGTTGACCCTGCAACTCGTCGATTCCCTTCAGTCTTTTCTCCATTCAGATGCTTTTTAAGCCATTCCAAAGCTCCATAATGTAGATCTAAGCTCCTAGGGCATACTTCTTACGTACAATTGCAAACTTTACGTACATGCAAGGTGCTAATGACTTATATCAAGCTAAAGGAGAGGTTCTAGGCAACGGAATCACACTAGCATGCTAAAGGCTGAGACTTTATGACTGTAAGGGCCAAGATGAGCCTAGATATGAAGTTGTAACTTCAGATCTTGGTTCATCACTCAAAATGTAGCACCAAATGCCCAAAATGGCCCCAAAACTCAAATATAGAAGGATCTAGCTAGAAGAAGATCAAGGTAATGACTTGATACCTTCAAATGATGCTAAACTGAGGTAGACTTCATATCTACACATGTTCCTGGCCTCACACTTCTTGGTCTTCAAGCTCCTTGCAACAAAATCTTCCTTCCAACTTGAAAAATCACACTAAATGAGACACACACACGAATTAGGGTTTCAGAGCTCAAGGGGACGGTGAGGGGAGGCCAAGGGAGGCTAATGATCCTTTAAATAGGGTGTGAAACCCCGGAAATTAGGGTTTCATCCATCAGCTCCTACTCGCCGAGTCCGTTTTCCGACTCGTCGAGTCGGTCACTTAAGACCCGCGACCAAAACCGTGCCTACTCAACGAGTCAGGGCAACCAACTCGTCGAGTCGACCTTAAAAGTTGGAAATAC